CTAATCTGTAGGGAATATCTACATGAAAGTTCTACAGAAAGTAGCAACGGGTCCTGAGAAATGTCGCTAAGTTTGTCGCTAGGCGCTTTTTGGAAAAAAAGTCGTTGAGGGGGGTCAAAAAGTCGTTAGGAACAGTGACAAAGTCGCCGAGTTGGCAACACTGGTCTAAACGCCACCCAGCCTGAGGCAGCTGTAACCTGTGTTTATTCATTACTAAAATCATCTGTCTTCATGATCTATACAATTTGAGCCGACATACCTGATGCTGCAGTCTGGTTCTGGCATATTGTAAAGTCCCAAACAGGGCGACGTGCGAGTCCAAAGGTGCAAATGCAGCATTCAGGCCACAAGGGGTTATTAACCTTGTAAACACTGGCTCAAGAAAATTAAAAATCAGGAAAAGCTGCCAAGTATGGCTTTAACTGGAGATCCACAAGTGTGTTGTGGTTCTAACACTGTTCTGCTTTCTAAAACTGAGTGAAGATGCCAACATTTTGACTCTAAACCAGGAAAGAACTATTCAGGCTTGTTTAAAATTTGTCAGTTTATGAAGCTTGAACTATTACATAATTAAAATATGGCTGCACAATGACTGAACTGGTAAATGGGCAAATGTGATGTTTAATCTTGATCTGACCTGCTTCACAGCAGATGAGGCTGCATTCCTTTCCTGCAGCTGCACCTGCTGGCTGTCCTCTAAACCAGGGGTCAACTCCAGACCTTCAAAGCTACCATCCTACAAACTTATAATTTTTTTGTTTTTCCCCCTCCAACTTGCCAGATGTAGGTCATTAATCACTTGATCCAGGTGTGATGGAGCAGGAAGTGTACAATTTGCAGAATGGTAGCCCTTGAAGGCTGACTCCTGTTAACAACTCATGTTCATTTATTTGGCAGACGCTTTTTACCAAAGCGACTTGCAATTTATAACCCATAGGGCATGTTGTGATCTGTGGAGGAAACCCACGCATGCATGGGGAGAACACGCAACTCTACGCAGAAAGGCCGCAGCAGAGTTTCGAACCTGCAACCTTCGTGCTGCGAGGCAACAGTGCTAACCACTGCGCCACCATGCAACTTTAATTAGTTGTATGTCAGCAGAGCTGTTCCTTCTCCAAAGGATCAAATCAAGATCTCGGCCGTGAAAAGGGCCTATGGTGGCTTTAGTCTCAGCTATAAGAAAATGCTTTAAAATGTGAATTTATTTCTTTGATGCACTTTATTGTTCTGGCTTTTTTTTAGACAAAACGTTGGCCATTGCTAATTAATGATTTTCGTTAATGCAGTGAAGTTGGAGCACAGATGCGTGGGGGGAATATTCAAGCCTAACTGGATAAAAACTTAATTTTAATGCTTTGTAATGGTAGTTTATTCCAATCCACAATCCAATATTTTAAAATCTGCTCCTTTAAAAAATTATATATAAATAAATAAATATGAAATAAAAAACTATTCAGGATCCAAGTCTCTTCAATATCTGCAGACGCCCTAAACTCACATTTTACAATTGGGGTGTAGTTGAATCTTAATGTTTCATATCTGAAGCAACTGAAGTTTATTTGCTGCTTTAATTCGCTTTCCTTCAGAAATCATTTTAATTTCTGATTATTCAGTCACTCTTGAGTTTTTAATGCCGACTGAACATGAATAGTCTCCTACACCCATCTCCTGCTTTAGCTTCTGATAGAAAAGATGGTAACGCTAGGATTGGAAAAACTCAGCATTTGCATCACGCTGTTAACTGAGCGTTCGTGAACCCGCCCATGTCGACTATCAACTGGGAAGGCTGTTATTTGATGGACTTTAATTTACAGAAGTCTCGAGACATTGTTGGTTTAAACGAGTGTCCTACACCTTTATAGGTTTTTCTGTACTTAAATGGTTTATAGTTAGCTAGCTTTGTAGTAGAATATTTGGTTTAAAAATACCACATGTGTTGTCTCGCAGGGAAGAACAAGTCTTACAACTGTAAACGCTACAATTTACCTAATGCATGACTCAAAACACTTTGAGTTGTTTAGTGCTAATGTTACATACACATCAAAGCAATAACTTTGTTCTACAAATGTAGAATTTCTGAATAATTTCATGAAATTGCAGGATGGAGGCTGCCTGCATTCTTCCAACTCATAAACATGGCTACAGCAGTCACGGGCTGACTCATTTGCATACATTTTGCATGTACAGGAAGTTTATTACAAGGCAGTTAGACTTAAAAAGAGATCTAGATCATGTTTTATTCATAACGCAGCCCTCGTAAAGCATTCAGTGGTAATGAATAAAGCTCGAGATGAAGGTCTCCAAGCTGGAGAAAAGGCAAGTGACTGAAGACTGAAGTAGAGAATGCATCGTTTCAAGAATGTGTTGACCTGAGAACGGGGAATAAATCACTGAGCGTTATGGTATATAATTTTTAGTGTACGTTTAACTTAACTCTGCCTATTTATAAAGCACCTTACAGGCACCAGCGTGCCACCACTGTTAAACAAAATAAAACCTATAAAAGCAACAAGTTAAACTTTTGATAAAAAAAAACACGTGAAACCTCAACAATAGCTAGCCCACAGAATTAACCCTCCCACTGTCTTCATGGGTGACCCCGTCAGGGAAGTTGACCATTGGGCAGGATTGATGGTTTATCCCTTGAGGTCCTCGTGGCAAGGGTGAGGTCCTCGTAAAAGTAGGTTTTCAGCCTCACTTCAAAAACCGCTATGGAGAGATCCTAATTAAGAGCAGTGCGTTCCAGTTTCAGGCCAGCAACGGAACGCCCCATCACTTGACTTCAGTCGAGCCATGGGAGCCACAAGAAGCAGTTCGTGTCCGAGCTGGGGCATATGGCTGTAATAACTGTCAAATAGGCTGGAGACAATCCATTCAGTGCCTAAACACTTAAAATATGCTGGTGAAGGTTCTCAATGATCTTAGACACTGTAGCTGTCTAACGTTAAATAACAATAGACAGCTACAGCTTATAAGCTTGACTCTCTCATATTCCAGCCAGAATTGGCAAAGCTCCTCGGATGAGAAGTGAAATATCTTCAAGGAACCAAAGAAGTCTAGTTGCCTTCATTTGAACCCTTTGGATTATGATTAAAAGAAGTTGAAACAAATTCTAAAATCTACAGGTGACCAACGGAGAGCAGCAAAGATTGGTGTCACGTGGTCATGCTTTCTTTTGCACACATCAACTCTTTATCTCATAAGGATTTCTATAGGAAAGGTAGAGCTGCAAATCATACCTGGCACTGAGAATCTAATCAGCAACTCCCCGACTAAACAACTTGGGGCTCAAAATAAATCCGGTGTAAAACCCCTAAGATGCACGGAAAGTAAGCCGACTTGATGGAAGAGAATTTTGCTTCTACTTGTCGAACCGTTGAGGCTAAAGTATGAAAGCCCTGAAGGCAATGGGAAAAAATATTAGCAGTTGACCCCCCCCCCCCCCACATCCCATTTATCCAATAATCTGTTTTTGCCCCCCCCCCCCCCCCCCCCCCAAAAAAAAAAAAACTTGTTTTTTCTGAGCTGAACAAAGAAGACACTTAGAATTTTTACAAGAGCTGAAAAATGCTTTTTGCTAATATTTGGATGATTGGGAAAGGTTAAATGTGTATTTCTGCTCCTCCTTACTAAAGTGAGACATTCTTGATGATTAAATGCACATCCTGTTTCACATCTTGTGTTCACTGCTAAATTTACTCTTGGACTGAAGCTTGTTGGGATTTTTCGTTACACATTCTTTGACGTGGAAAACTGATGCCATCTCCTGAAGGGATTGCTCTTTATAACCACGATGTGCATCTGTAGAGACGTGGACTGGTCCATCGTCCTGAAACTCAGCACAGCAAGACATATCGCTCATTGTGATGAGTCGTCTAAACGCCACCCAGCCTGAGGCAGCAGTACCCTGTGTTTATGTGCCAACAGGTGTTGGAAGAAGCAATGAAAGCAAAGCTGTGGTCTTCACACGTAATAATAGCAGTCGTCTGCCGTCATGAACTGACTTTGGTAGTTAGAAGGAACAATTGAATCACTTGAAGAGCAATTTGGTTGAGTTTATGGTGCTAAGTCTATTTTAAATAAACTGCTCCAAATTATTCTCGTTAAAATGGCAAATCAGCATATGGCTGCTCTAAGGAAACTGGTTGCAACAAGTCTTCAGGTTTAGACCCCACCCTGAGCATGTAGGGATAATGGTTGACTAACTTATTTCTAATGATTAAAGAGGTAACCAGATTTGAACCAGTCCGTACTTCCGAGGAAATACTCAGTTTTTGTATTATTGCAAACATGCAAAAGTACTTGAATTTCTGTAATTTTAGTTCTATGTGCTGTAGTTCTGACTAGCCCATTTCATTTTGTAGTTGTTGCTAAAGAAGCTTGCATGTTCTAACTTTATGCAGTGCTAAATCCATTTTAATGCCAGTGGGTACTCCAGTGTAAAGTGAATATATTCCTAGAAGATCATACCGTTCCTGCAAAGCTATTACATTAGATGATAGAATTTCAAACTCATTGACATTTTTCATTTTTTTTTTCTGGCCATGAGAATATTTTGGTAGATGCGTATCCCCTTAAATATTAAATTTCTAGGCCAGTTGGATGCTAGAATATTGGCTGTAAAGGTGAAAATCGATTTTCTATAAACATGTGAAGTGAGGGAAAAGCTAAATGGATGCAAATATCAGCAAAGCTGTTAACACTTTATCAGTGCATTGACAGATGTACATCTTAAAGGTGGCTTTCAAACTATCCCACACAATTGGCAAAATCCCAGTTTTGAGTGGCTGCATTTGTTTCTGAAACGGATAGTCCTGTTGGTGTTCTGACAATGAGGAAATACTGCCTCAGTTTAAAATGATTCGGTGAATCAAGCAACATGATCTCTGAACCCACTGAGCACATCTCTCTTGCAGTAATAAACTCTTCTTGCATTACCTCAGCAGCACTCTTCTTTGTTCTTCCCCTTCATGTTTGCTCTGTTTATGCTTTATTTGCAGGTGTTCTTGAAAAGACAGTGGAAGGAGAGGCTGCTGCTCTCACCAAGGCTAAGACCCTTTACAAGTCCTGCACCAATGAGAGTGAGTCAGCCGGCCAAAGATTTTAACACACATAACCTTTTATATTCAGTTTTTTTAATGCCATTTTATTTTCCATGTTTAAACTGAAGGTTCAGTTTTTTACTTGATGCTTATGAAAGTTGAACTTTAAAAGCATATTCTGCAGCTGTTCTCAGTTTGTCAAAATGAAGCTCCTTCAAGCTTAAGTTGGTATTGTGCTTAAATGAAACAACTGACAAAGGTGTAAATCTTGTTCTGAGCCGAGCAAAATGATCTGTTCCACCAGCAGAAGCTCTGTTCATTTTCTAATCACCTTTTGTTGTTTAAGGTTTAATTGAGCTTAGAGGAGGAGCTCCTTTGCTCAACATGCTGCCTGATGTGCTCGACTGGCCAATAGCTGTGGACGACTGGGAGTCCGTCTACGGTACAACTGTTCGCCCCCGCTATCCTAACACAGGATTCACTGTGTTTCTATTTTTTCTTTACTCTCTCTTTCTTTTCATTTCCTCAGGAACAACTTGGAGGTTGGAAGATGTCATTGCCAGGTTAAACGAGAAATATGGAACTCAACTCTTGGTTAACTTTTTTGTTGGCACCGATGACCGGGACTCCACTTCACACATTATTCATGTATGCATCAAACCAGGAAAGTCTCTATACACTAGATGTTTCCCTATGGCCTCTTAAGAATTTGTCATGCTTTATTTTTCCCAGTTTGACCAGCAGACGAGCCTCGGCCTCTTATCCAGAGACTACTATGCCTGTGACGGTTCCTATGCAGAGGTTTGGATAAATTCAAGTTCTTTTAAACATTTTTTTTTTTGCAAATTGGATGATCAACTTCAATGCGGTGATGCATTTTGATTTGTTTGCTTTTAATGCTCTTACAAAAGTTTAATCTGTTTGATGAAACAAAGTCATCAACTTCTGATTATAATATAAAAGTGGGAAAACTAAACCTGCTTCTGTCAGTTTGGACCAGATGGTGTGCCTGAACCAGAACAGTTGACTTAGATTTAACTTTCCTGAACTGTTTAGTATGCAGAAAGCGGCGTTCGCAGCAGCTACACTTGATTTAAAGGAGTGTGAAGAGTCTCTTGATTAAACGAAAGTCATTAATGTCCGTGTTTAACAGGTGTGTCGAGCTTACGAGCAGTTCATGATTGACCTGGCTAAGCTGATCCGCACCGATCGGGGACTGGAAATCAATGAGACCCGCATAAGAGAGGAGGTGACGCGAATCATGGACGTGGAGAGGGACATTGCCTATGTAAGCTTGAATCTATTGAAATACGGTTCTGCTGGTCACCCCAAAAACTGCCTGTGTTCCCTCTGTTTTCCCTTTTCCAACATCGCCATCTAGAGGCTGACAAATGTGTCACACTTTAAGCCGTTTTTCCCAATTTCACTGTTGTGGACGAAAGTGGCGCTTGTTGTCACTCAACAGAACTAAAACACATTTTATTCTCACGTAGTGCTGTTGATCCGTATGTTCGTTTAAAGGATGCCAACTCTGCGTATAGGTACATCTTCAACGCTTGCATGCACAATTGCGATTGGCATCTGTACATAGGCCGATATCTAATGCTGAATGGTTGTCTATTAAATTTTTGTGGGACTCTACGGGACAGGGGACAAGCTTAGCAAAACGAAAGGCACACTTGGCAGTTTTGGCTTTTTAGCACCACCTAGTGTCCATTTTGTCGAACCAAAAGTGAAGCTCATCTCCTTGCCATGCATTAGTCTAACGCTTTAACTGCTGAAATGTCTCGGTCTTCGTTACCGTCTACAGCAAAGAAGACTTCACAATCTAAAACATGCAAGACATGTGCTGGAAGCAGACTCCAGCAAGAAGCACGTCTGTTCAATTTTTTTTTGGTCTGTTCATAAAGTGGCAGCTTGCCACTCTGAAATTGCAAGTGTGATATTCTGGTCAAAAAAGGGATGGTGGGGGTCTGAGTGACATTTCATTAGCACCTATTGGCTGAAGTAAACTATTAAAAAATAAAAAATATGGAAGTTGCATATAGTATCTCTTTAATATAGTGCCTACATTATATCACAGTACAGGTTAAAGCCTTGCTCTCATACTTTTGCGTGTTCTGGGGAGTGTTGAAAAGCAGAGGGAGTAACGCTGTTCTGGGATATCCCGTCATGTATCTGGTCCAAGAGTGCATTTAAAAAAATACATTTCAGATACTTAAACACATTTGTCCATCTTCTCTAAACCCACACCTCCCATCACTTCTGTCCACAAATAAAATTCTTGCTGTGTATCTTTTAACTCCTCGAGTCACTGGTGAATAAAATGGTAATGTCTTTAGTTTTTCTGTGAGGTATTCGAGCTGCTCCGTGTCTGCAGCTGGACATCTTCGGCTTTCTTTGTCTTTGAAGGCGCCAGTGTCTGTGCTGTTGACAAAAGCGACGTTCTGACTAACAGAAGTTTGAGTTCTCCGTCTTATTTGGATGTCGAGTGGGCTCAACTCCATCCGTCCCTGCGAGCCTGCTGGAGAGCCCTTGCAGCCACGGATAATGGGGTGGCGCGTCTCCGCACTGATGCAGAAGCATAAACTAGGCTTAAGACGGTCATTTTTATGGACTAAAAAATACAAAATTCCTGAAAGGAGGGGCAAAATGATTGTTGCTTTCTTATTGCTGTTAGGCATCGGTTCCTGCCCAGTCAGATGGTGGCTCAAGATCCCTTCATACAAACCTTTAAAACCTAACCTGGCTGCAGCTCTGTGGACTAATATTTTCCCCTTGCTTTAAAGCTATAAAGCTGCAAGCTTGGATCATTTTTCTTTCCTCTGTACCTTAGCACTCCTGGTCCTTTGGGAAATAGGGAGAGATTCTTTTTTTAGGTCTAATAGCAATATAGATTTGAGGTTTCTCCTTTGTGCTTTTATCCATTATTGCTGCACCTGGTTTAGTTACCTCTTGTTTAAGTGTAGCTCAAGCCTCCAGCCTATCAAATGTTTCATACCCAGAAATAGTCTGAACCAGGTGGGCCTTACTCTGAATATGCTAATTCTTGACCATTCAACACAAAGCAGTTGAGATGCTTAAAGTTCTTGTATGTCTTAGATTTCTAAGATTTCTTACGCCGGTTATAAAATCAAACATGTATTGATGTGACGAAAGCTACATTTTCTGCAGTGCTTGACGAGGTTTACAGCCATTCTGAGGAAATGCAACAATCGGTGGTGTCAAACGTGTAGGACTATAATGTGCAACATTAAAAAATAAAGAGGAACTCTGCGGTCAGAGGTGTGTGCATACCCAGCTTCTATTTTAGACCCAACTTTCACTAATCACAACATGCAGGAATTGCACATTTTAGAATTTGGATGGAAGCATTTGACTGGTTCAGGCTTGGCATGCACACATTAAGGCTGTATCCGACGCAAAGGAATGCCAATGTCTTAAAACATAAACAGATTTTGTTTTTCACCTTTTTATTTGAGCTGCTCTTCTCGGGAACACGCTTTGCACTTGACTGCTCACGTTTACGAGGCGGTGAAAGCCATCGAGCACTGACATTTACAGACCTGAAGCCTCCCACTCTGCTAAATATGTTTGACATGAAGTGAACACGTGGTGGAAACCAACAGGGTTGTGATGGTGGTGGTTGATTTTCCGTGGGCCTCTTGCTCCCTCAGGCCACGGACACTCCGGAGGATCGGAACGACCCGGTGCTGCTTTACAATAAGATGGAACTGGGCAACCTGAACACAAACTTCACTCTTAAAGTAGATTCGCAGGTAAACAAAGTATCCGCTCAACAAAACTGTTCATGTTTTGGCTTTATTGCTCATTATTTTATTTTTATCAACTTGAAGGTATTCGACTGGATTTACTTCACAGCTAGCATAATGGACACAGTCAACATCAGGATTCCTAACACCGAGAAAGTCGTAAACTACTCTCCCAACTATTATAGGAGACTCAACCCTGTTTTGGCCAAATACACAAAGAGGTATGATTTCATGTGACTTGGGTGATCATACCTGACCGCTGGTCACTCATTAGTGTAGAATCACAACCCTGCATGATTAGAAAGGCGTCTTGGACGATGTTCTTTCAGGGATCTGCAAAACTACATGGTGTGGCGCTTTGCAATGAACATGGTGGTGGGCCTGAGCCGGGCTTACAGAGACACAAGGAAAGCTTTCCGCAAGGTATGCACACACACGACTCTACGGCTCAATGTGTTGGTTTGCTGACTGTCTTTTCTTCTACAGTTTCTTGTACTTGCAACAAAGTTTGTATCCACAGGGGTGAAATGGAGCTAAACTTGTAAAAAATAGCAGCTTCGGCCATAATTAAGACAAAGAGCTAAGATAATTACCCATGGGAGGAAACTACAAACAGATGAGCAATTGAATCTGAGTGAGCGCCAACGCAGTTTTTTGTCCTGCTTTTCAAAAAGCTAAAATGTAATGTTAAGTTTTGTTCAAATTTAAGATGAACAAAGTAGTGACTTGTTGTTTCTACTTTGCTGCTGTTGTTCAGGCCTTGTCTGGGACGACGTCAGATGTGGCCGTGTGGCGGCAGTGTGCTCTGTACGTCAATAACAACCTGGACAACGCTGTGGGACGACTGTACGTGCAGGAGGCCTTCTCTGAAAAGAGTAAAGAGCTGGTAAGTATGGGTTCAACTTTGTTTCTGATCAAAAGGGCCCCATACATGTTTAAACCTTAAGGACCAGCGTCTATATTTCCATTTCCACTCATCGTAAATGTCACTGCCTTTTCACGAACACTTAGAATTAAGCCTGATTTATGCTTCTCCGTCTGCGTCATTGCGGAGACACGCAACGCCATTATCCATCCTTGCGTAGGGCACGCAGGCACGTACGGAGTCGAGCCCACTTTTTTAAACATCCGTCGAACGAGACGGATTACGCAAGCTTGTGATTGGTCAGGACGCTGCTGTTTACAGCGCCGCCATTGCAAAGAGAGCCGAGTTTAACTAGCGGCAGACACGGAGAAGCTTGAAGAATACCTCGCGAAAAAACTTTTAAAATATGAACGTTTAATTCTCCCGTGACTGGAGGAGTGAAAAGATGCGCAGTAAGCGTTTTATTTGTGGACGAAATGACAGGAAACGTGGGTTTAGAGGTGGGGAGCGCATGAAGAGGTGGGAGAATGAGAGACAAATATGTCTGTGTTAAAAGTCTCTTATATACACAAAAAACACAATATAAACACACGATCTTGGACCGATACATGACAGGATACCACAGAACAGCGCTACGCCCTCTGTTGTCCTGCCGGGCAATTGCTTTGCAACACTCTCCAGGAGACGGAGAAGTATGAAAGCAAAACGTTTCCATCAATCCGTGCGTGTCTGTCCCTTGCGGAGCTGACGGAGAAGCATGAACCAGGCTTTACGGTGTTCCACCCAACTTAAGATCTAGCTAGTCTCTTTGCGCCATGGAGCCATTCAACCAAACAACGAGGGGCTGACATGCCAAATATTGCTGTCTGCTGAACTGAAACTGCCTTCCTGTTTAGTCTCAAGTTCACTCTCTAAACCAACAATGTTAGGTCTAGGAAACCCTCACATTACAAGGTTGACTAGTTGTGCTAAACAAGACTAGTTGTAAATGTTAAACTTAAAGTTTGAAGTTATAGCCTAACGAGTAGCAAAGCTGCCATATTTGATGTATGCCCTGAACAAGTAAAATAATGTATTTTGTTAGGTAAAGTCTATTTAATTTATTTTTTTGCCATGATCTTTTTCAATGTAACTGTAATAAATATTATACTAAGAATTCTATGGAAAAAGGAGGAAACAAACCTTGCAATCGGTGACGGTTAAAAGGAAGATGACTCAAAAGACAGATCCTCAAATATTGGTGTCAAGCAGACTCGTAGCAACAACCAGACCCCAGGTAGCTGCTTCGGTTCTGCTCCGTACCGCAGCAGACATCCACAAATTAATGGGATGGTGGGAATTTTTCTTCCGCTTGTAGTTGACTCGTTCAATAAAATGGTGTTTCTGAACCCACTCAAGCATGCTACCTGCTAGCATTAACCAAGCTGCCCGTATAACTCGTGATCTCAAACTTTGGACCGTTCCTGCCTTTAGCAATGGTTTGTGTCTTTGCTGGTCTATTTTCCTCCAACACCTAAATGATGTCATTGTGAGCCAGTAAAAGTATGTGCACACATTAACAAAGCTTAGAATCTGTGAAAATGTAAGGAATTTAATGAATCGACCTTTTCGAAGATCCGTTTCAGCCTTCGTTAAATACCACAATAACACGCTTGGGTTTACATTTATAGTGCCCTGTTGAGCGTTAAAAAGGCATCTTTGAAACTTTGGACGGATATATGGAGAGGTTTAAATATTAATTTATTCACATGTACAGTAGTGAGCATGTGTTTCAGGCAGCTTGTCTGTTTCTGTCACCTTTGTCTTGTCTCTACCTCAATACGGTTTTTTGCTTGCGTGCGCAGAAAGCAGCTGAACAAGGTGTCCTTGTTATCATCCTCACACCACCCACACTGTAGGGTGCATGTGCACGCGTGTGCAAGAGCGCACGCATTTGATTATGAGTGAGACTCTGTTGCAATTCTGAGTCTAAGATGGCATCAAAATGCTCGTCTATTCTGACGGGTGGATCTCACGTCTAGCTCCCTGCTGTGTGTCACACCTGTTTTCAGCACATTCTTTAAATTCATGTTTTGTGGCCTGCAACAGGCACATTCGCGGTAGTCTTATTAAAATGGTGTTTAAGCCACATGAACAAGGAGAATGCCAAATGCTCACTTGTAACAATTTTAGATTGCTGGGATTTGTAATTTACAACCAGTTTGCATAGACCATCATGTGAAAGCTGAAAAGGTTCAATTTCTGCTAAAAACAGAAATTCAACATTTCTAGAATGGATCACATTTTCATATCGCGTCTAGAAACATTAGATCAGGTATTCACATCTTGCGGAATCGTCTTGACTTCTCCATGTGATGCATCAGTCATCCTACCCTGATCACAGCTGTGTTCAAATATTAACTATTAAAAGAAGGTCATTCTAACTGCTGCCAGTAGCTCTGCTCATGATATGCATGCGTAATAAAAATAAATCCAACTTTTAAAGTCAAAGTTGGAGACTCAACTCAATTCCACACGTCTTCTGAAAAGCCTCAGTGTGGTCACTCCGAGTTTGTGGTGACTCCTCTGTGAGGTTGTGCAACAAGCATACAAGGAGTCCGCTGATGTGAAGAAACTGGGAGATGCCCCCCTGCTGAAGTTTGTCTCTCCGTGTGCGGTGATGTGCATTTTAAATGTTGAAACTATTGGTATTGTTTGCAAGAATGTTAACTTTGCACCACAGCTTTTACAAAAAATGTGTTCATGTTGACTTTGGAACACGTTGGAGGCGTTTGCATGAAAATGGAACATCTTGGATTCAAGGTTCAGGAACTGAAATTGTCTAAATATCTCAACAGAAGTTGCACAAAAAACATCTGTGCAGCATGAGCTTGGAAGGATCGAAAGCCAGTTTGAATCATGAAGGCTTGATGTCCATAACTCTTATGGACCGGATTTCTAGGTGCAGCAAACGTGTTGGGAGGAGACTCGTTTTGGTGGCCTGAGGCTCAGATCTTTGCTTTCGGCAGATGTTGGCTTCATCAGAACGTGATCTCCAGCTTTTGCTGTTGCAGTTCGCAGCAGAGTGTGAAGCAGCTGGGATGAAGATCGGCTCCTCCAAAGCAGACCGTGGTCTTGAGTCAGAAAAGGGTAGAATGCCTTCCTCAGGTCTGGGATGAGGTTCTGCCCCAAGTAGGAGTTAGTATCTCAGGGTCTTCATCACAAGTGAGGGGAAGATCGTGAGATGGATGAGACTGGTGCTGCGTCTGGAGTGATGCGGGCGTTGTACCGGTCTGTCGTGAAGGAGCTGAGCCGGAAGGTAAAGCTCTTGATTTGCTGGTGGATCCATGTTACAACTCTCCTCTGGTCATGAGCTTTGGATAGTGAATGAGAACGCAGAAGACTAGCACAAGAGTTTATTTCCACAGGGTGCCTGGGCCCTCCCTCAGAGATGGGGTGAGAAGCTCAGTCATCCCGGAGGGGCTCAGAATATCGGCTGCTGCTCCTTCACATCTGGTTATGCCACCTGGATGCCCCCCGGTGAGGTTTTCTAGGAACGTCACTCCAGAAGACAAGATGGCTTTGTATACATTTATATAGAACATTTCCTACACAAAGGCAACTCTATGTGCTTTACAACAATTAAGGAGGGAGGAGACCTGAAGGAAGATCCAGGACCCACTGAAGGGACAGTTTCTCAGCTGGCCAGGAAAGTCCTTGGGTTTCCCTTGGAGGAGCTGGCCTGAGTGGCTGGAGAAAGGGGAAACCTATCTGGTTATGCTGCTGCTCCCGCGGGACTCGACCCCAGAGAAACCATTGAAAATGGATGGATGGCTTTCTTGAAGGCCTTAATGAAGCATTCAGTTTTGAAAATGAGTTTCAAGTTTTAATCTTGCATTTGATTAGTTTAGAATATAGTTTCTAAGATATTTGTATGACTTCTAAAAATGTCAACTTGTGTACATTTGGAAAAAATTTTTGGAAATTAAGAGGGGGGCGGGGGGGGATTTTATCGAATAGGACCGATCATTTAGCATTTATTCACGAGTTTGACCGTTTCTGCTTGGTGTGTTGTGAGGTTAGATGGAGGAGATGATCAAAGACCTTCGGGAGGTGTTCATTAGCAACCTTGATGAACTCACCTGGATGGACGCAGAGACAAAGAAAGCGGCTGAGGAAAAGGTACAAGACAAGATTTGAAAGAGTTTTACATATTTCTGGTTTAAACACCCCCGTCTCTTTCTTTCTTTGCAGGCTCGAGCTATTCGGGAACGGATTGGCTACTCTGAAAAGATTATGGTGGATGAATATCTGAACAATGAGTACAAAGATGTGAGTCTTTCGCTGAAATCGTAACTGAATACAAAGAAGCTTCGTTGAGGCTTTAATGAAAACATCCCAGTGAATTGTTGGCTAATGAGTTTCACCGTGGAGTAAACGACCAAGTGTTGAAAGCTTTCGTCACCACTAATCCATCCTGCTTCTTTGGCTCTGGTCGTGGCAGCTGAGCTACAGCGCAGAGGAGTACTTTGAAAACATCCTAGAGAACCTGGAGTATGTGCAGAAGAAACGCCTGAGGAAACTGAGGGTTAAAGTCAACAAAGACGAGTAAGATTTCCCGTGGGGTTCGGGGAGGGGTGTTTAAAAGTCTACACATCTGGAGTGAAGCCGATTCCAAAGCTGCGGTGTATTTAAATCATTTGAGATGACTTCATTTAAGATCTAGTGTGACCTACTCGAGTGTCGGCCTCGTTCTCTAGCGGCATGCATTCGCTCTCCCACACACTCCTACTTGCACATATAGAGTTCAGCTTTGCGCTGCAGGGATCCCAACACTGGCTCGTGTATTTATAGCTGCGGGTTAAATGAAATTATTTTAATCGAATATAATTTGTGCAATGCTTGTGTTCTCATGCAATGATCAGATGAATTTAAACGGTTTATTTTTCCTAGGTGGGTAACTGGAGCTGCTGTGGTCAACGCCTTCTACTCATCCAGCAAAAACCAGATAGGTAATGCACTTTATCAGCAAGCACAGTTCAGCATTTTGATAAAATGATTTAAAAGTATCCATTTATCTTCTGCCATCAGTGTTTCCTGCAGGTATCCTTCAGCCTCCTTTCTTCAGCAAAGGCCAGGCTAATTCTCTCAACTACGGCGGCATCGGCATGGTAATTGGTCACGAGATTACACACGGTTTTGATGACAATGGTGAGATATTTTTTCCCCCACTCTGCTTTGTTTCCCTTCCAAGGCCAGCTATGGCTGATTACTTAAGTCTTGAACACATCTCCCTGTAACTGGTACCATAGTACTTTGTTGTTCCAGTCCTGTATTTTTTGTTGTGGTGAGAACAGAAATCTAAATTTGACCCTGGTCATTTGAAGTAATTTTCCACTTCAGTTGATTCATTTAGCAGACTTTTCTTTTCTAAGTAAAATAAATTAAGCTGACCTATGTAATAAAGAGATAATGGCAAGATCAATAACAATTAAGGGTATAACTATAGGCTAAGATTGTGTTTGGTTCAGTGCTTTGAAGGGCTCGGTTTGATAAATTTTCGGTATTTAATATCTGAAGTGGCTCTTATAGTGAACAGAATCGGGTGTCGTCAGAGGCTGCTGATCTAGCATGAGGTTTTAAATTATTTCACAGGTTATTTGTGCATCTGTGTCACGCTCATCCAGGCAAGTGTTGTATTGACTGTTCCACGTCTGAAAAACTCACCTCACACCGCCCAGAGTTTCTTCTTTAAAACTCGTATTAAAGAGCAAGTCACCCACGACCAGATTCTTACTCAACTCCCACTTCATGTTTGAAAAAATGCAACAAATGCTGCTGCCTAGCAGACAGAGAGGGTGGAGCCGCTAACAAATGCACACAGTTACGACATTGTGACATCATAATGTGCCATCTAACATCATTGTGTACCTCTGAGCCAATAGCAATGGCAGATTTAAATTCAAATGCAGTGCTGAGTTTTTGCTGCCGGCGCATCGCTGACAGTTTTGGGCAGAATATTTAAATTTTAACTAAGATGCACTAAAGTGCCAAATTGACTACATTTGTCTACAGCATACACTCATTTATATAGTTTATCAGCAAAAAAATGTTGATTTGGAGTGACTTGCTCTTTAAATGAGGCTCCTCCATGCCGTATGTTTTGTATGATGAAAACCTAACATCAGCCACTGCATGCCTGCACAGTGAGAAGGGAAGGAGGAGCAAAGCGACGCTCCATTCAGCGTCTCCGGCCAGTAGCAGCAACAGCCAGCTGGTTTTATCCGCTCTGAAAAACGATCAGAATTTGCAGATCACATTTTTTATTTAACGGAGATCGGACGCGTGCAGCCATCATGTGTCGCTCAATACAGCGCCTACACTTATCCGTTGCGCTTAATTTATTTAATGGAAAAATAAACTGAAACTGTACGCAAGTGGACCAAACCAAAGCTGCCCCCCCCCCCCCCCATCCTAATGTTTTTGAATCTGTAATGTGTTCTGTAGGTCGTAACTACGATAAAGATGGTGACCTGAAGGACTGGTGGACACCAGACTCCACCCACAGATTTCTACAGTTGTCCAAGTGCATTGTTGATCAGTATAGCAACTTCTCTTGGGACCTGGCCAATGGACTACATGTATGTTCTCAATCACACCCTTTAGTAATTTTCCAGTAACATCTCAGACATTCTCACAGCTTGTTTACCTTTTTGGCATTGCCGCTACCTTTGCCAGCTCATCCATCTGTCATGTTTCGATCTTTCTGCCAGCTCTGCTGCTTCATCCTCTTTGCTGTAGGTCTTGTCTATTTTCTATCATCATGAGAAACGTTCCCCTTTTTCTTCCCTGTTCCGTATTGTCCCTTTGAACAAAGCTTCTCTTGTTCCCAGGGTAATTTCCTCTATCCCAAGAACTGAGCTTTGAAATTTGCTGAGATACAGGAGAAGCCTCCATCCAGCTCATTATGCTGTTTGTTCCTTTGCTCTCCCTCTAGTTAAATGGTAACAACACCCTTGGGGAGAACATTGCAGACAATGGAGGCATTCGACAGGCATATCAGGTAAAAAGCCGTAAAGCAGAGGAGTTGTTGTTTAACAATACAACTAAAGTCCTATTTTCATGAAGAACTGATGGTACAACTATGATAAGTCAAGGCGATCAAAGATATTTGAATTTCATGGGAAAGTAGAATTTGAGTAATTTTAAAGAGACTGTGTAGTTTTTATTAACTCCTGGAAATAGCCATCAGTTTTGGAAATGATGCCCAGTTGTTAAAAAATATTGGCGTTTCATAACGTATAACTAGAAATCATGTCTTAAACACATGAGAGTGGGTCCAAGTCTCTTGGCGACGCCATATTGGAAGCCATGTTTCCTTCTACGGGAGCCCATGTGGAGAAAATGCTTTTACTGATTTGTAACAGACTTTTACAAAACTTTCATCATTCTTGAATGTTTTTTTTATTTTTACACATTTACTTCACTTGTTGCCAGTCATGAAAGGGAGTCTGATGTGCTTGTTTTGCAAACGTTTGCACTCCCCAGGGCTTTTTGACCCTAATGGGCATCTGTTAGTCTTCAACACAAAAATACTGCTGCAATGATTTAGGTATCATGAAAAATACACCCTGTAACTTGAAGCATTTATTTGAGCTATTCTATGAATTTGCAGTTTTATGAAATGTATCCTTAAGCATTAAGATAGTGAACGAAGATGACCCTCTTCAAAAATGCTTTTGAGATGGCGTCGTTGGCACATGAAATGGAAATCGGAGTTTTTATTTTTTTCTCTCAAAGCCAATGAAATGCAAAAGTATGGTTATTGATTCGCTTTTCCAGCGCATGGTTATTTTAAAAGGTTTGCAGAAAGGGGCTGGATTGTTTGAAGATGTGTTCAGAATTAAGCTGCAACTCTGCAGTTTTCAGTTTGAAAGCTCAAGACAAGAAGCATTTCCCTTTAAAGAGACAAAAAGGTTTGATTTGTGAAATCTTCTGCTGCTTTAGCTACATTTAATAAATTTCCTTTTCTTTAGGCTTACAAGAACTATGTGAGAAAGCATGGAGAGGAACCACCCCTCCCTGGCATCGACCTTTCACACGATCAGCTGTTTTTCTTAAACTTTGCTCAGGTAATTGATCACAGATCAGGGGAAATGGTGGGGAACTGGGATATCTGTTTGGTAAATCAGAATAAATGAGGAATTGGTGTTTAAATCAAAACATGTAACCAACAATTTCACTCAAGTAGCATTTTGGACTTTATTTAGCTAAAACAAAGGGAAATTAAATTTAACAGAAAAAAACGGGCACCTTGTGATTTTCATTTTGAGAGGTGCTATTCAAAATATCTTCTATCTTGTAAGAGGCCATTGCTGCAGGGTGATTAAAGTCAGTTGGAACATTTTTGTACCATTTAATCAAACCGTCACAAACTAATTTTAAACCATGGGAGTCAATTTGACATGAAACGTCTTAAATACTGTAATTCTATGCAATCTGTGGTAAGTGATCTTAAATGGAAGACAAGCAAACTACCAACATGGAAGTTTAATGACCAAAATTAGTCAGTTTTAAACTCTAATGTTAATTTCCTTATGCTAAAACAAGTCAATTTCCCATGGAAAGATGTGCCATCGGGCCACCTTAGAGGATGTTTTTGCAACCCTTAAATGCAAAAGTGGGTCCAAGTGCAGATCTTTGAGGTCAATAAATTTTAGTCTTGGTAATACTGTGCCGTTATGGGTCATGTCTGATGCAGGGGCATTTACACCTTTCTTATATCACCACTCTGAAGACCGATGAGCGTTGTCAACAGGTTTACTGACATTCAAAAACGTAAAACTAAAAACAAGACAAAATAGTTAAGATATACATATGTGCAGCATAATATACATTTATATACCACACTGCTACTACACAGCATATGTCACAGGTCTAATTATGAGAACTTGTGCTATTGACGCTATCCAGACGACCTCCAAAATCGCGGGTAACTAGCTTAAAGGACTAGCTTGCAGCTAAATACAGCATTAGTGGGCAACATTTTGCACAAAAACAAAGTTGCAACTTATACTTTAAAGTACATACCGGCGATACAACCATAAACAGAAGATGTAGACAGTGTTTCTCCCCCCCCCCAACAGGACACCATAAACTGTGTGCCGATATGTTTCCTTCTTGCTCACTTGCTTTGCTAGACTGAGCGGACTGCCTGTTCAGTAAAGTTATTTAAAAAATAAAGCTGTTTCTAAAGTGCACCACTCGAAGAAACCACAGAGGGTGCTGTAAACACATAATAACACTGACTGAGAATGACATTTTAGTGATACATTTTTACAACTTTTAGTGAAAACAGAACAAATACTCAAAGGTAATTAAAAAAATTAATATCAAAAATGTAAAATGGCCTTTTGCAGCTATCCTATTTTTAGCTAATGGGTTAAAAGACTCAATCATTTTTATTGGAATCATTTTTAAGCAATGTTTTCCAAAATGTTTTTTATTCAAAATTAACAAAGTTCTACTTGTATAAAATACCTGTAGGGCCAATGTGGTTGACTAAAGATGCTTCAAATAAAAATTTGCACTTATGTACATGTGAAAGATATTGAATCTGAAAGATATAGAATTTTTTGACCTGACATAAAAACGCATTGATTACACTTTAGACATTTTTGACTTTCTGAGAAAAGTAGTCCTATTTATAAATTATAGTTTAATTTGCCTTGATATATCCAAAAATGGTCAGTTTATTCCCACATTGCAGTTGCAAATTCTGCAAAATGACTGTATTAAAAGATAAATGTAACTGATTACTACCTGATGTAATAAAAATGATTGCTAAAAGTTAAGTAAATGAGGTATAGGATGGATTGATGGATGAATAAATTACAACCTCAATCAGAATAAGTGCATTGCATTTCTTTCAGGTGTGGTGTGGAACATATCGACCAGAGCAAGCTGTTAGTTCCATTAAAGTAGATGTACACAGTCCAGGGAAATTCAGGTAACGTCTCAATGTTTCCTCTACCTTTCTCAGCTGTAATTTACAAGACTTGTTGAATAGTTTAACATGTAAACGGGCTGCTGCAGTGCTCTTTACCAGAGAGAAACATGCAGAGGCGGTTGTTGCACAGATGCTGCTGAATTAGACCAAACTGAAGTTTGGGGCCTTCAGAAACAAACGCTACTCCTCAGTCAACATAACACAAAGGCTATCACTTAGGACAGTGCAACCTAGCTACCTTCTGGATGATTTTGGTCTCCTAGCAACCAGCGTTGAACTTAAGTGCACATCAGCATGGTGTATACTGCTACCTATGTGTGTATTTGCAGCCAATTAGGGACATTTCCTACAATGACTGCTGTGGACCACTTCAGTCCTTCCAAATAATAGGTTTTCTTAATTTTCCAGACAGATTCTGTGTGCAGGCCTAAAACATTTTTAATGGCTTAATATTGGAGTCTCTCTGGGTGCAACATACCAACATATGGAATGAACTCGGGCCATGTGATTAAAAAAATGCATTGGCCAAGCAAATCAAAGATTTCCTGCATTCACATTGTTGAGATGGGTGTTTTCAGATTAGATGCTAACTGTAAACTTCTAAACATTTTAGATTTTTCAGCACCTCATCTTGGTCCCTGCAACTTCTGGATGTTCATAGTTCTCGCCCTGCAAAACTAAATTAGATGCAACTTCACAGAAAATAATTTCTGATTGTAATCTGAGTCTTTTGCGCAGGCTGAAGACAAATGGTCCCCTTCACCTATCTCTTGCATTACCATCTGATATTAAAAAAAATGAATAATTGTGAGACTCTAGGATTTGAAACGCCTGACAGATCTGTCACACTGTCATTTAACGTTATGGACTCGCCCCTCTTGGCTCACAATTAGGAAGGCTGTTGGTTTAGTGTCCAGGAGATGGTAGAAAGCATCTCAACTGGCAAAAGCTAACCGTTAACAATTCCACCACACGGCAGAACTCCTCCAGGATTTTATTTGTTGATAAAATGTCAACGTTGCAAAGCAAGCTGTCAGTGGTAGTCGTGTTGCTGTTAGCCAATCGGTAAAGAACAACCCTCCAACTACGGCTTCTTAAGATGTTTTTGTCTCACTTTGTTGTTAAAATGCCATAATTACAATTTGTCTTGTTTAACTAAGCTCAAAACTCCTCTGTATGTTTCAGAGTCCTGGGCTCTCTCAGAAATTTTCCAGAGTTTGCCAAAGCTTTCCACTGCAGCAACAGCAGCTACATGCGTGCTCATCCGGTTTGTCGTGTGTGGTGATTTGAGAGCTCTGGGATGGGGTCTCCCTGTTCCCTCCCCTCCCCTTTTTGGTACCTCTCCCCTTGGACTGCTGGAACACTCGAGGGCTACAGGAAGGTGGGGACTTCCTTTGGTTCTTTACAGGATGGACCATGGCTGATGGACATTCTTTGCAGTATATGCACTTCATCGCAGGACAGCAGCAGACTGAACCCTTTAGGGCAGAAGGAGCACTGTATCTTCTGATACTGTACTTCATTAAATCAGCCTGTTTGTTCTCCTACTCACTGGATAAACCACCTCCTTACATTTTCTTTTCACTATTCTTAACGTCTTATGCTTTGAGTCTGTCTGTTTCTTTCTAGGTGCAAATGTGAGTGGGTGTCAATCAAAATGCTTTACAAGTTGTAGGCAATAGAGTGGTGGACAGAAACGAGCGCTGCCCACTCGCACGTTAAAACACCGCCTACCCACTCACTCGTGCACACATGCAGCAGGGCCGAACCACTGTACTGTATGTGGGACTCGGTGGTTTACGCATAAAACCTCAACTGTTATCAGCCTTCGTCTAGCCTACAAGGACTTGTAAGAGTCTTTCACCCTTTTTAGTTTAATGTCACGAAACAGGGATTTATTTTGTTGACTAGATTGATATTTAATTGTAATCCTTTATTATGCTGTTCAATATGTTACTGACTTTATTGCTGTTGACAGCCATTAGCAGAATGAAGACGGTTAACCAAAATGAAGATCTTGCCTTTGCTTAGATGACCACTGGTCATGAGTAACGGAGATGACAATCTAGACTCCAGACCCTTTTCACTTGTCCTGAGCCTCCTGTTTGTTTCTGTCTGTGTATTGTTTGTACGTCTTACCATCACTGTTAATTAATTATGCCTTACAGTTATGTTTTACCATGTGTATGTTTGTGGGAGAAAGGATCGGAACATTTATTAAAGAATTAGACTTTTTAACCACGCTCGTTCTGGTTTCTGAATGTGAAAGATTCCACACCACGAGGGAAGCTTTATGCTCAGAAGCTATTTGTCTACAGTGATCAGCTTTGGGATCTTTATATTCTTTAAAGTGTACATGTGTTTACTTGCTTCCCAAATAACTTAAAAAGAAAAAATGTGAGTTCTTAAAGTGCAGAACAATTGCATGGGTTGGTATAGCAGGAGGTATCTTAATGCGACTTAGTTCCTGCCTGGACCAATGACTTCATGCAGACATGCTAGTTGCTTAGAAACCGAACTGTTGCCATGGGTAGGGTACTTGTTGGTTTTTTGCACTTCTATTAAGAACAAAATATGTATTGAAATTGTTAACGTTTTATTCATGAAACTTGTCCATTTGGTTAGACTTGGGTTTTAGGCACAATGTTGACTAAATGGGAAGCGTAAAGTATACCTAGGGACATTTTTTACCCAGGTTTTTATAAAATATATTAACATTGTTTGAGGCTTTCAAAGATTTACACCACTACACATGTTCAGGTTTTAGTCACGTTTGAGGCGTTCTTGATGCAATGCAATTTTCTGATTTCTTTAAAAATGTGAAGTTTTAGTTTTTTTCCAAAACACAAATGCAACTGATGTGCCATCCTTTAGACTACGTCTTACTGTATACAGCATCGCTAATGTCCGTCATTGTTCTAAACCTTTGTGGTTGTGTCTGCAAGGATTCAGTTGCTTTGGTCACTGTTCTTCATTCTTGAGCTTCTTGTTTTCATTTGTAGAAAAATGAATACCTCAGTTGCCTGTATGAAGAGACTTTATAATGACAAATCTTTTCTTTCAACAATAAATCTTTATAACATGCAGTATGTAGCTGGCTTGTTTTATGGGGATTTGCTGTGCATTATTCTGATTCATGCTTTCATGCAAATTGAAGGTGTGTGGTTATGTTTGAACATGTTTCAGTACAGCAACTAACTCAAACGAATCCATATAAAATCTAACCAAACTTTATAGTTTACAACCATGTTCCAGACTTAAGAATTGGGGAACCACCAAGTTGGTTTGCTGGGGTTGGAGGAATAGAGACTGGGGTGAAGTATTTGTTTTGATTTTTGTTGTTTGAGACGTCTAGAGAAATGTTTTGAGAGCGATGCCAACAGTAAAAAGTCATGTGATCATTTGTGCAGGGTTGCTATTCACCCAAGCAAGTGGACTTGGATGGTATCTAAACATCCTTCACGTGGTAGTAAACAACCTTTCATTGTAACTTGATGCAGCACCCTGCTATGATCCTGAACTTACATATTTGGTTTCTCAAACCACGTAGTTTAAACCAGGGTTATTAATGTCCATTCCTTGAGGGCCAGTATCCAGCATGTTGTGGTTGCAGCACATTCTCACACCCACAGCGTCAAACTGACTAGTGGGCCATTCCCATCTGTACCGGGTAGGCCGGGGCCGGGTAGCATAGGTTGTTAACATATCTGGGTGGCCTGGTATTTTTCCAGGCCAACCAAGGCTCATTCTCAGCCCTCTTCTCGAGGGGGTCTGCTTCAGGCCGACCAGGACCAACACACCCACTGCTGACAGCAAATTCACACCTTCCATTAGAGCAAGCCTCTGATTGGTGGGTAGAATCAGCCCATTCACACCTTCCATTAGAGCAAGCCTCTGATTGGTGGGTAGAATCAGCCCACATGGGCTTAAGACAAGGATGTGTGGAATCAACCGGGCCAGGCTGGGGCCGACTGGGGCTACCCGGCCCGGGCCGACCCGGTACAGATGGGAATGGCCCATATGGGTGTCATGCTTGGTTACCCATCGTCAGTTTTCAACGCGTTGGGTGTGAGAACGTTTGGTTTTAACACTACTTCAACACACCTGATTGCAATTAGTAGGTGATTAACGGGCTTCTGCAGAGCCTGATGAGCTGCTGAACAGGAGATTCAACCACTGAATCAAGTGTGTTGGAGCAGAGAAACCACTAAAACGATCTGGATGAAATGAAAAGCCCTGGTTTAAAATAAGGTTTGAGAAACCACACGTCCATTTAAGATTAGTTGGAAATTCTCAAAACCTGAATCTATGTTGAGACAAGTTCCAAATACTAATGAGCAAAGGATGGAATGGGATGGTTTAGGCTCTAAAATTGGTTGACTGCATGTGAGGGTGAATTTCAAATGTCTCTAATAAGAACAGACTTTAAAAAATGTAATCATTGCAATAACTGAACATTATTGTCCATGAAATGCTTTTAAACTTAAGAAAGGCTTGTGATATTTCAGTATTTACAACCTGTAAAAAGTTGGCTCAGGTGGTGTTGCCTTGCAGAAAGAAAGTAACAGATTAATGATCCACACATGTGTGGGGTTTCTCTGGGCACTCTGATGGTTCCCTGACCAACAACATGCAGGTTAGTGAGTGATGGCAGAATACAACAGCAACATATCAAAGTATTGACACAGAAGGTGCTCAAATTTAAATTATTTTTGTGACAATCGGATGGCAGCAGCAATGCAATCACTTCCATGCTTACTCTGTGGATGTTAAAGGTGGCTAGCATAAAATGTGTGACTGTTTCACAGCACATAAACGGCTCGTCACTGTTATAAACACCATTGCATAACTGCTAAATTATGCACCCAAAGATGAAATCTGTTATTTTCCACTAAATATTGCTAATTTAAAGGTGAGTTTTAGGAATGAGATTTTTTAACTATTTTCTTAAACATGGTGAGGGAGACCGATTCATCTGAATGCAGTGAAGCTCAGACTTTTCCACTATCCATAAGCACGGCAGCTCCAGCAGCAAATCAAGTTAGTTTGACTAACTAAAGGTGGGATTAACCCCACCTTTCCACCAGAGCCGTGACGGAGCCGTCAACAGCACGTTACTGCAGCAGCACGTCATAGCTGCTGATGGGAACTGCTGTGGTCAACAGAACCTTTTCCACCGGAGCCGTCAGCAGCGCGAGCCGGCCGCGTCTCAGGAGCAGCACGTCGCGGCCCTTACGTGCCGGTTCTATTTTCTACGCGCTACGCCTCTGAAACGGGTCAAGTTCGACATTTTTGGGGAAGGAAAGACAGGAAATCGGACACGGAAACGGTGTGAAGCTTCCCGGGATTTTCAGAATAAACGTACTGCCTTCCGGTTGCTTTACTTTAAAAAAAGTTATCACCTAGCTAGTGGTCTCCTTTGTTTTTCCATAATGGACGACGAAAGGTTGATTACTGAAGTGGAAAAGTACCCGATCCTGTTTGATCCCAGTCGCAGTTTTTTTTTTTATAAAGACAACGTCAAGCAGGATAATGCATGGAGTGATGTATCTGCGGTTTTGGAGACATATGGTGAGTTAATGCTAATTATGTTTTCTCCTGCTTGTTGTGTTTACCAATGAAGTCACTCGTGACTCTGCCAGTGTCGCATGAGTTCGTGCTCTGTCGGTGACAGCTGCTCCCCGGCCTGCTGCTTCGTGTCTTGTGGGAGGGGCTGAGCAGCAGCTTACGCGAGCAAGACGTGCTGCTGACGGCTCTGGTGGAAAGGAGGGGTAAGCAAACAAATGAATGTGGCAAAAGCACACATTGCTCCCAAATGACCCACTGGTAATTTAAAGCATGCTCCAACAAACAAACCAGCTCATTTCCTGGTTAAGAAACTATTACTTTGCAAACTGAAACTGGAGAGTCAAACTATCGATGATAAACTTAGAGTAAAAACAAAATCTACTGAACACGTTCCAACTTAACAAAGCCAGTCTGACAGAAGTACAACAGGAGGTGGAGGACGGGGACTTGGAGTTGGCACATCTTGATGTTTAAAGTGTAAAAATTATCTTGAGGAATGGAATGCACAGTAGAAATCAGGGCCAGCGCTCACAGTTGATGTAACATGACCTTTCCTGACCTTGGTTTGGCTTATTTCTGTTTACATTTACCAAGTTAAACCCCACGGAACATTACCAGCGTGGCAGTAAACAATAACGGCCTGCCTGAAAACGCTTGATGTTTGTTTCTTTACGTAGTCTTTATACTTTTTGAGGTGCAGCAGCTTAAAAAGAGTTAGTGGCTGTGCGTGAACCCTTTTCCACCTCTCTGAGGCTCAACCCCTGCTTGCAGCTGAACAGTTGCCGTTGCTTACTGTCGAGCGTCCCATGTTGCTCCTGCTGGCTCTAAGGCACTTTGGCATATAGCTGAAAATTCACACCGCCCACTTTCCTCGTGCTCTCGCCCTCCCCGTCATTAGCAGCTATGCTAGTTACCCTCACAGCTAACATTACAACGCCTCAGCATGTTCCTGGGAGTCTCATCTGAATGTTTTGCACTTTGAACGTTTAGAGACTGCTGAGGTCTTATTCTGAAGTAACAGATACAGCAGGTGATTTAAACCCAATAGTAATGAGAAAGTTGGCTTGAAGTGGGATTTACTGCCCAGTAGGGAAAACACGATGGGCACTTCTGCAACTCGGAGCATTGCAACAGTGTTTTTGAAAGCTTCTTGTTACCAGTTTGTTTTGGTTGGTCTTAATTTAGTTTTACTCCCCTCTGCTGCCCTGCTGTCATAAAATGATTCCATTGAGGTATTCGCCCTCTGGGTGACCCCGGCAGTGGCTCTGGTGGTGTGTGTTTGTGTAGTGGTAATGAGGGGGACGACATGCAGCCACTGGAATGCCTGCACGTGTGTGACAATGTTTGAAGTGTTGTGTGGAGGTTGAAGCTTTTACTATAAGAGTAAAGAATTGTGGCATCTCACACACACACACACACACACACACACACACACACACACACACACACACACACACACACACACACACACACACACACACACACACACACACACACACACACACACCTGATTTTCCCATGTGCAAATGCACAGCGGCACGTGAAAGTATGTGCTAGGATCATGAGTCGGTGTTTTTCAGATGGGGGGAAGCAGGCTGGCACCGCGCCATGGCACACTTGACCAGAAAGGTGCTCTTATTGTGAAATGCCCTTTCATTGTGCACACACCGATAATCAGCTATTATTTAAAAGAGGCCTTTAGAATTATTTTGGAACAAGTTCTTAATTCACTTTGTTATGCATTAGATGGAACTAAAAACTGATTCGGTCTTTAAATTACTTCTGGGGACTTCATTAATACATGAAGCTATTACAGGTGAGGTTCACTCAAATTGTAATTATTCTTTTTGAAATATCATTGGGAGCATAAGGAGCAGCTTACAGTAGCATATGCTTGCTGGACATGAAAATAGTCTTTTACCCCATTTCCTGCATTAGACGCTGAAAGAAAAACAGATTTCAACGCTCATGTCAGAAAAAGCTGCACAGCTCTATGTCACACTAAAATTAGCATCCATGGTTGTGACCGCAGAAGCCCGAGTTCATTTTGTGACTGGCAGAGAGTACGGCTAGTAAAAGCTAAGCATTAGCAATAGCAACGCCACAACATGGTGGAACCAGTGTTAATTTAGTAGACAAAAACATTTTTTTGGGTTGAATATTTGCGAACAAAACTAAAAAAGTTCTGTATGAAAACAAAATCATGACAAATAGACGTTTTCTGAGATGAATGAAAGACGACAACAAAAACTGACGGTGAAGAAAATCCAATCAGAAAATGGGAACAAACAAGAGAACCATCCAGCAAATGGTATAGGTGGCACTAGATGGGACAAGAACCAGTCAGAGTCCGGAGTCAGCTGCTGTTTGAACAAGCGGTCGGTAACAGTTGCAACCGTAACAATTTATGTCTAAAAGGAGAAAATGTCCATGAACGGGAGGAAAAGCAATAAATGTGACGACATGAAAAGTATTTGCTTGGTGAGTACATGTTCGGGGTGTCCCCTGATTTGAAGTGTTA